TGAGTTTTAGTGGAGGCTGTGTGTACAGGCGGACTCTGCCTGGCATATTCCAAAGCTCAAGACTCCCAGAAGTAAAACAGATTTAAGTATAAACTGTATTATTTTGGCAGACACTTTAGGCAGAGTGAGATGCTCTTGCTAGTTAAAGAAATGGGACGAAACCTCTCAACAAAAGGGAGCTCTTGAATGCTGCCCAAACATCAGCCTTGTAAGCAGGCCCTTCTGTGCATGTTACCCAAGCCTGTTCTGTTAACTCTTCTGCACAAGTACGAATAAACAGAGGGCAGTCCTAACCCTAGAGGAGTAACAGAGATTAGTGCTACGATTGGTGTCGTTCCTTTTTTTATCTGCCTTTTTGTCCTTTGCAGCAGATAGATGACTCTTGGAAAATGATGGAGAGTTATAAAAAAAATCAGATTGTGATGAAAGCATCCACTCCTCCAGATACAGTTTCTGCACTGAAACAAGCCCATTTCTGTGTAAAGATCAGTATGGGAAATGTATTACTTGCTTTATTCTAAGAGAGAACTCAAGAAGTGTTTTGTTTTCAATTAAGATAACACACTTAAGGCATCATTATCTTCTTAAAACATAAGAATGTCACTTGCTCTGAGTCACAAATGTAGTCTGAAGTGCTTTGTTGGAGTCATTGCTGGATGGGAAGCCTTTCTTCCACGAGGGACATGGCATTATTTGGACACAGCCTGGTAAGTGTGGAATAACAAGCTGCCCACATGCCTTGGTGAAACGTATGTAACAGGAATCTGGGTGATAAACCGATGAAGATATAGGATTCAGACACTTTATTGAAGTTATGGCAGTGAAGATAAATTAAACTGGAAGACCATGTGCTGCATCTTGTTCCTTGTATCTCTAAGGAAGAAGCTGAAAAATTTTTAAAGAAAGCTATTTATGAACACATCCAGCTGTTGTTGTTCCTAAAACAAGGTAAGGCTTTTGAATTTAGGAATACTTTGTAAGGATCTGTGGAAGATTAATATGCTTTGCAAAAGTGTCAGACTTTGTAAGAGAATCACATTGCTGAATTGTATGATTTTGGAAAAGTGCCAGCAAAAAGCTCTACTTTTGAGTAATAATTATTGGGAACAGAAAGAAACTAAGCTCCTGACCAGGAGACACCAATGACCCTGCCACTGGAGCTGCTCAAAGTGAATTGACAATAATATGATCCACCAAGCCATAAACTTGACTGTGGTCAGTAACACACCATCATCGGTGGAAACAGAATATACAAGACTAGGCGTGAGGAGGTGCTGAAATATCAAAGGCATTCCAGAAGCAGATGGCTCACACACCCATAGCGTCTGTTCACAGTCACAACACTTCTATATATTTTCTTTTTATTTTCCTAAATTTCCACGTTGATGTTGTTTTAGAGTTCTTTATTTTCTATTATCGCACTGGATAGCGTTGCTATCAGAGAAAATTGTCTGTGTAAACTGAGTTTTTGAAATATGCTGAAGATAGTTTTATGAACTAGTATTTTATTTCTCTGCATTTTCCTGGGAGTTATAATTTAGAATACATCCATTATTATTTACGGTTGGGAACACACTCACTGTTTTTCTTTGTCCCAACATTTCTTTATTTTTTTCCTGTATCCTAGATAAACATTTGGGTTGCTACTCATTGTAAATACAACAGTAATAGTTTTCTTATCACTATAGAGATTTTCCTCCACTATCTTTCTGTCTACATTATTACTGTGGTGAAGTTGACAGTGTAAATAGTTTTCCTTTATAGTTAATGCGTTTTGTCTCTCAACCTGAATTTAAGAATTTTTTTGGAATTTGTTTGATACGCTAGCTGACTGTTTATTTTTATTTATCCAGAAATCTGATCATTATAGTTTATGCTTTTGTTTCTGAAAAATTATTATTTTAAATGTTGACTTTGAAAGTTCTTTCTTTTACTCATACTGCAAGTTTCTTTGGTCACATATTGGACCCTGTCATTATACACTCCAAGTTTTTAAACTGTTTTTGTATATTTTTTGTATGTGTCATTGTTTGTATAATTTATCCACATTTATCTTTCAACTCAATGTATTTGTATTCATCACTGATGTTTTCTGCATTTTTACCATCCACTGTTTTCTTTTTCAATAATTGTATTTTAATGATTCTTTTACAAAAACCATGCCTACTTACTTTTGCTAATGTCTTTTTTGTGCTTATTACTATTTAATCTGAAATATTAAATAATAGTTATTTTATATTATCTATCCCATACAGGCAGTATATACGCTTGGATGTCTCTTTATGACTTTGCTTGTTTGTTTGTGTTGGCTCTGTCAGACAAACTTACTTCTTGAGTGAGAATTAATTGTCCACTATGAGTTCTTATTCAAATGATCACAATCAGTGGGAAATCCTGAGGCAAGTCTTGGACGGTTCCATGAATTTTTTTTCCTAGCAAATTTTTCCTCTGTATTTGTGCAAGGATATTAATACTAATTTCCATAATGTGAAGATCTAACAATCTTTATTACATTCTCAGGTTAATCTTTTTAAGATTAGGAGATCTGCATTTATTTTTAGTTGTAAAGATGACTCTAGTCTTTGCTCATCATTTCTTCTTGTAACTAGTACATTCTTTCAGTGATTGTCTTACATTAATTCTAGGATTTTCCTTAAGTTATTATATTCCTTAGGAATATCTTCTGGTAATAATCTGTTCCAAAAACTCTCAGTCTTCTCCTTTTCAGCTCTTAAGATTTGCTTTATATTTGCAAGTTCAGTACTTAATTATATATTTAAAGTATTTTATATTCTGTTCCATTCAATGAAATGGAGGTAGAGTGGTTCATTTTTTAAAAAGAAAATGTAATACACTACTTTTACTGAAACTAGAATCAGTTTGTATGTATTTGTTATAACCATATGTATGCATGCTTATCAAATTGCAAATTCTAAAGTCAGGGCCTTATTCAGCATTTTTCAGTATTTAATAGAGATTAGATGTTCTTTTTTTTTTTTTTTTAAAGAGGAAAACCACATGTTTAAGATCTTTGTCCTTTTGCATTTTAGTATTTTGCCTTTTGAGTGTTTCACCCAGAACTTTGTAATCAGCGATGAAAGTTACTGGCAATATATTTCAGTTGCAATCATACAGCCATTCTTTCTACGAAGGGTTCATATATAAGCTGCATCACTATGTGATTGTAGACGAATTTACTGTACCCAAATAATAGCTTTTACAGTAAAAGTAGTGAAGAATATAAAAAAGATGTTTTAGAGTGAATGAGACATTGTAAATGAAACTTCCAGTACATTGTTAAAGCCCTGGGTTCCAGAAGGGTGTTTTCTTTTTCTCAACATATAAATAAAAGCCACAGTAGGTACTATTAATATCCCTTTTTCCAATTCCTTCTGATAGCCTTAGAGAAAAAGTGACATAGGTATTATCAGTTGAAATTAACTTTATATTTTGAAAACAAAATATAAATTCACATTACAAAGTATTACTCTCCTGGGTTAGGCTAATTTACTCAGGTGCCACCATTCGAGTTCATTTCTTGTCTAAATGATGAATGACACTTGAAACACTGTAAGGTAATGTTATTTTTAGTAGGCAATAACAGTTAACAGTGCAGTTTACCATCTGAAACTATGCAGTAAACAGCTAAGCTGTAACAGCAACAAGATACGTGATTTTTTTTCCAAATTGGAAAATGTGAACATGTTAAAATACTATGAGACTGGAATTTAGAACCAGGGTATAAAAGCCACGTGTATCTATGTTTTCATGTCTCCTTCTGCTCTTGGGTTCCTGTTTTTCTCTCTTTACTTGTTCTTTCTCCTGCTCTCATCTTTTATCTTTTTGTTTTTCTTCCTTCCTCTATTTCCTTCTTCCTGTTTTAAAATGAAAAATCTGAATGAGGTTTGGTATGATACAATAATATATTAAGTGTTGGAAGATAGTGGAGTCTACGTTTACTGTAGTGAAAAATTATAATTTCAAAACCTAAAGAGTCTTCTGAAATATCTAAGAGTTAAAAATGGGAAAAAACACTGAATACTAGAGTTGTATTTCTTTTCTAAAATGGCATTTCTATTGCATTACTCACATATTCCTAAAAAAGTTGGAATTATTATGATCCTCCATTAATTTCACTTAATTTGTAACTGAATCAAAATGTTTTAATGGCTACTATCTGCCTGAAAATCTCTTATTAAATGGGGTTACAACAGTAGAAATGTCATAACCCTGCTTTTTTAGGGGACATCGAAAAATGAATACAGAAAAATTTTAATAGTAGTTAATAGTATGGTTAATAGTTAATGGTAGTAGTTACCATTTTGAATTATTTTTAAAATGTATTTTAAAAACTATATTTTCTTTTGTACATTTAAGATATATATCATGATGTTGTGTGATACATAGATGAGAAGAGAGAAAGGAAGAGTAATATATGCAGCAAGATATCTGAAATCTAGTTTCTAACATCAACTTACTATATATCTTATAATTTACTTGGGTCCAATTTATATGATTTATAGTATAATAACCTTTAATATCTCATCAGTTTTTAAAGATCTATGATTCTTAAAGATCTCAAAAAGAAATGTAAGGTTTCTATTGAATTAAACAGCATAAAGACCTTATTTTCACTGGGCAATTATAACAATTGGACCTGAAATATCTGAGTATGTTTTAGTAACAATAACGTTCTAAATTACACAAATGGTACTAAATGAGCATCTAATTTAGTGAAGAACATTTCTATGTAATTTACAATTTATTATACTTCCTCCCCTTTGCTTGTCCTTTGGTTTTTAAATTTTTCTTTTAAGAGATAAGGTGATCATAAAAGCTTAAACTGTTTAAACATGGTGTACATAGGGCAATAAATGCCCTAGTTTAGCTAGCTGCAGAAATAGTGCAATTACTCAAGTTAAATATTTTCTAAAGGCACTCCTCTGAAGGAGTAAATTACCTGCCTAAAGAGTCATTTGTTAGACTTGAAGCTGGTTACCAGTAGTATCCTGAACTAAGAAGCAGATCTGGCAAACGAAGAAAGAAAATAAAAAGATGCTTTCAATTATGAACTCACCCATTTTAACTGGCTGATCGTTAATACACAAGTAAAGTTTCTCTCTCTGGCTGAAAATGTTAGTGTTCTCAATGAATGAAGCTTTGTTTTTCCTTTGGATTTCCTCTATTTTCATTTCTTTCCTGGGTCAGCAAGGATCAGAAGCTTTTCAGTGTGACAATGGGGTCTCCTTGCCTCCTGACAATGTGTGCGACTTCACAGACCAGTGTGGAGACAGCAGTGATGAGCAGCAATGTAAGTGTGCTTCTCCATTCTCCAGTTTCCACTCTCTGTTCACCTTCAAACCAGGGACATAAGATTCAGCTAGATTCGTAGCCCTAAGTGAATTTTACTTTATGTGCCTTATTGTAAAACTGAAACTAAAACATACTGTTTAATAGAGATGGCTTTTCATGCACAAAATTTACTTTAGTCAATAGCAAATTGCTAAAACTTTAACTGGATAGAAAAATTTATTTTAAGTCAATTTTTACTGATTAGAAAGAAAGAATGATAAGCAGAAATGTAGCTTTCAATGTTATATTAGTGGAGGAAAATTCCAAAGAAAATAATACTCTGATGGAAACTATGAACTGAGCTATGAATTTAATATGGAAATATTTGAAATTAATTTTAGCCTAAGTTTCATTTATAAAATCTTATTCCTGAGGAAGCAAACTTCAGAGAATACAGGACTTACTTTTGAATCCTGGGTGAATTATTTAATAGTTGTGAAATCGTGAACCTCCATTTTATTGTAAAAAATCATAAAGTAAAACTCATTCTCATTGGTTAGAAAATGCCCAGCCTGGAATGATGGTTTGTTGCCTGAAATATCATTAATGAAAAGGGAACAATTTACCAAAAAAAGATGTGCATAGTAGCTTGTTAGTTTCTGCAGTTTGCATCCCGTGATGAAATCTGGAAGGGATATGACATGTCAGCAGTGGAGGCTGGTGCCATTCTTGCATACAATCACTTTGATAAACATTTTCCTAACACGACTCTTGCTTTGTTGTTTGTTCATATCATTACTGATTTAATTGTCTGGAGGCTGGGTCTAATATTATTTCCAATATACAATTCTATTATAGTAGCTCACTTCACTCAAACCTGTGTTTTCTGATTTTTATTGAAGTAAAATCTCAAGAAGTATTTACAGAATTCTTCATTTTCTGCTGTAAAAATAACTCCATCTATTTGATGTTTCATTCTTTTTACATATTTAATCATCATTTTTTGCCTTGCTTTTCAAAACAAAAAAGTTACTGAAAATTTCTTCTCTGAAAAAGAAAACAGACTAGTGATTTTTCTGCCATAGTTCAGGAGGGCTATCACACTATTATTCATACTTAGTGACTTTTAAATACACAGTACAGCCAAGGACAAGGATTCATTTGTATTTGTCCAATTTTCCCAGAGGGGCTGAGTGTGGGTATGTTGCTCCTTGCTCCAGCCTTTTGGAAAGGTCCTTACTGCTCCTTGGTGAGCAGCAAAGAGGAACCACTCAGTTGGTTTGACAAGAGGAGCAAAGTCCGTTCCATTATTAATTTTCATGAAGCTTCCTTTAGCACTCTGGCTGTGATAATGTGCACAGTCTTGCTTCAGGGAAAAGGTTAATATGGAGATGGAGAAAGCTGCTGAGTGAGAAAGGTCTCCGCTGCGTGAAAATTTCTAATAACTGAGCCTTGGAGGAAGGCAAAGGCACAGATCTGTTGAATAAACACATTTCATTTTAAATGTTACATTGGGAGGTCACCTTTTGGCTTTTTCATTTTCATTTCTGAGAAGTTTTCACTTTGGTATTTTATTTAACATGTGGGCAAGTACCTGTAGATAAAATGGAGAGTCACTTTAAATGATGAGTTTCTTTTATATGCTGCACTAGGGAAGAACGTTGAAGCAATACTGATGGACAAGCAGTTTTTCCCATGAAAACTTGTGATCTTAACTTAAAGGTTAGATCTACTAAAAATCTAACTTTATGAAGTGGCCACACTTTGGGAAAAAATCAATCTGCCCACTTTAACATCCAAATGGCGTGACCTTTAAAGAAATAGATTAAAATGTAGACTTTTCTAGATAGAATTAGTTTACTGAGGCTGAAATTTTGATGCAGTCTATACTGTTAATACATTTTTGAAAATATTCTTAAATGATGGAATGTTTTAAAGAATAAATGAACCTGTTATTTTTAACTCACTGTCTCCCTAAGTTATTAAGTAGAAAAAATAAATCTTTAAATGGTATTAATTCTATTTATACATAAGTACTACATATTGGCACTTTATATAGAGTGAGTAATAAAAATATTTTGCAGGTGTAACAAATGTTTGACTTCTTCTTTATTAGGCTTCATTGACATCTTTACCCAAGAAAATATATTGTGGTGCTGTCTGTGTATTTTGTTAAATCATTTTTAAAACCACTGGATTGTTTGCTTTCATGCTGATCTATGTTGACTTGATTTCTTCATTACCTCATTTTATTAATTTGTATTGCTATTTATAATTGACAAACTATAATTTTTACATTTGAGTATATACAATGTTACGTGTGTAAAATATGCTATGATTAAATCAAGAAAGTTAGCATCTATTATCTTTTCCTTTTGGATAGGACATTTGAAATTCACTCTGTTTTTTTGAAATACATGTTGTCTTAGTTACTTTTCTTATTGCTGAGACAAAATAACCAACACCCAGAGTGAAGGGAGAAAAGGCTTATTTGGCTTACAGTTTGTAGAAATTTCAGTTCACAGTCGATTGACTCCAAGGAGGCATGGTGTAGCAGATAAGCATTGTAGAGGAGAAACATTGACAGTGGGCAGAAGGTAGCACAGCAACAAGGGGAGAGGGCAGGTCAAGATTCTTTCTGGCCCTAACGTTATATGCAGGCTACCTGCCATAGGATGAGTGTAGCACTCACACCCTTAATCCTCGCCAGAACTATGCCAAACCAGTCAATGGGCTGATTTACTAATTACACATTCTTTACACACTATGAATTACACACTCTACAGTATTGCACAAAGTAGAGTCAGTCACCTCTGAAAAAGCCCGATGACTACATGAGACTTTGGGGTAACATCTAGACACAACCATAACACACATTATTGACTATGGTTATTCTCCTATGCAGTGGATCTCAAAATTTATTCCTTCTGTGTATCTGAAACTTTGTATCTTTTGCCCAATCATTTCTCATCCTATCCCCAGCTTCTGGTAATCATCATTTAGCACATAACTTCTATGATTCTACATATAAGTGACACCATGAAGTATTTTTCTTTCTGTGTTTAATATATTCACTTAATATATTCCTAATGTAAACCAGGTTTATCTATGTTGTTGCAAATGGTGGTATTTCTGTCCTTTTAAAAACAGAACAGAATTTCATGTGCATGAACATATATACTGCATTTAAAAAATACATTCATTCATTGATTAAAATTTAGATTATCTATCTGAGCTGTTGTGCATGATCCTATTATAAATATGAGAGCAGAAATAACCTTTCAATATATTGATTTCAATTCAATATAGGGAGATTTCAATATAGGGAGATTTCTATATCTTATCATAGCCCTATGGTTAGATTTTTTGAGGAATTTCCATATTGATTTTAATATTGGTTATACTACTTTACATTCTTATCAATAGAAATGTTCCATTTTATATGCATTCTTGTCAGTCATTGTCTTTTACCTTTTTTTCCTTAGCAGCCTTTCTAATAGGTGAGAGGTGCTATCTATTACAGCCTTGTTTTACATTTCCTTAGTGATTAGTGATATTGAACATTTTGCATGTACCAGTTGACTATTTGTATGTTTTCTTTCGGGTAATGTCTAAATTGGATTCTTTTAGGGGTGTTTTAGCTATTGAGCTACATTTAGCTATTGAGTTGTTTGATTTCCTGATATTCTTTGGATACCAACTCCTTCTGTAACGTATAGTTTGCAAATTTTCTCCCATTCTGTGAATTGTCTTCTTTTTGAATTATTTCCTTTACTGTGAAAAGCTTTCCAGTTTGTTGTAACTGTATTTGTCTATTTTTGCTTGCATTTCCCAGGCTCTAGGGATCATATTAAAGAAACTCTTGATTACTTTTTCCTACCTTCTAACTTTGGGGTTACTTTGTTCTTCTTTTTATAGTTCCTTGAGGTATTTTAGAACGTTTGAAATTGTTTTTGATATAGATGTTCATCACTATGAATTTCCCTCTTAGGATTGTTTTTATACATTTTACAAATTCTGGTATGTTGTGTTTTCATTTTTCTCGAAGTATTTTTTTTTATTTCCTTTTTGACTTCTTTTGTTACCTACTGACAAATTTAATTTGCACCTGTTTGTGAGTTTTCCCCCTATTATCTATTTCTACTTGCATGCTATTGTGACCTAAGAAGATACTTGATGTGTTTTTAGTCCACTTATAGTTGATATGATTTATTTTGTGGTCTAACATGATTTGTCCTGGAGAATGTTCTGTGTGCAGGACTTCTTATGATCTTTGGGTCTTTCCTTTGGTTCCTTTGTATTTGAAGAAACAGCCATGTCTTCTGGCCTTTGCTAGTGTTCCTTGTTGGTGCTAGGCTGAGATTGTGATAGTGAGCCTGGTTACCTTGACCTTGCATTGGATTCTGTAGTTGGGCTCTCCTATAGCCTGTGTTCTGATATTGAGTAGAACTGCCAGCTCTGCTCCTTGGCTGGACTCTGTCAGAGCAGTCAGACTGCTCTGCTATCGTCTGATAGAACAAGATGTCAGGTTGTCTTTCCTGGCCAGGCATGACTGTGGACTGACCTGTGAAATTTGTAGTTGGACAGAGTCAGGTGCTGAGCTATGAAACTACTTGAGGCCTCTGGGATTTCTGTGTGGTTCCTTGTGTAGGCAAGACCAGAGGCTATGCTCTACAAATAAGTACAGACTTGGGTTTGCCTCTTGACCTGGGCTACCCTCAAGCAGAGAACTGAGGCTTGTTGCAGTTTCCAGTTGCCTGTTTGGCTGGGTATAGACAGATTCTCCTTTTCTCCAATACTTGTTGAGGCATTGGCTTCCTTGTCTTAGGATAAGAGTCTTTAGAGAGGGGTCCAGGGCTGTGTGAGGAAGCTGAGAAAATACTGAAGCCTGGCCAACCTAAAGACTGTGCTTCCTGAAGAGCAGGGCTGTTGACTAAACTCTCTCATGTGGTATGTCTCTGGGGCTCGCATGCAAGGCCCTGGAACTGCACACTGGTCATTGTAGGCCTCACCCTTGTT